CCCCGTGAGTTACCATAGAGATACTTTAGAGGCAAAGCAAAGTTAATGAGCTCGATTGGGCCTTTTTGTGTTCCTGAATGTTTTCCATTTCTGAGCCCTTAACATATAATTAGAGAGATTATTTAGCATGGACGTTTTCTTTTTATTGTAAATTAATTTCAAAACCAAGTTCTGAGGTTAAATAATGATTGTATTTGTTAATCAATCCAACCTGGGTTTCCTTCCCAAAGAAAACAGGATGTCATTGTCAAAATGTTGGGAACAGGATGTTTGAGAACTTGGGGGTTTCATTGATTGCGATGATGTTAAGGGTCCTGGCAGTCAGTACTAATGTGTGCTGACATCTTTTTATTAGACAGGGATGAGCTCTGGGAGGAGGTGAAACTCGAGACGCTTTGGGGAAGGGGTGCTGGGGGGCCGTGACCTTCCAGCTATGGGCGAGGCCCCAGGAGGTTCACAGCTTCCTGACCGGGGGCTGCCAGCCCCTTTGCCAGGCCTCGGTTTGCCTGCTGGAGAGCCCATGAAACGTCTAACCAAACAAGGTGAGGTGGATGAGAAGCTGGCTGCTTAGGCAGTTGGATGGGCTAAATCACTTGAAGGCTTCTTGCTTCTCTAGCTCTGTTTGTCCGTCAGGGTAAGTTCTGCTGTTTTTCCCAGGGTTTCTCAATCTTGGCACTATTGACATTTTTTGGCCAGATAATCCTTTGTTGTGGGGACAGGCCTGTGTGTTGTAGGATGTTTAGCAACATTACTGACCTCTACCCACTAGATGCCAGTAGCACACATGTACCCCTTCCCTCACTGTTGTGATACCCAAACTATCTCCACATGTTGTCAAATGTCCCTTTGGAGACAGATGTACCCCCAGTTAAGAACCACTGAGTTAAAAAATGATACATATTTAGGGGCACCTGGGTGGATCAGTTGGTGAAGCGTCCTACTTCAGCTCAGGTCATGATCTCACGGTCCGGTCCGTAGGTTTGAGCACCGTGTTGGGCTCTGTGCCGACAGCTCACAGCCTAGAGCCTGCTCCCTCCCTCTCTCTGCTCCTCCCCTGCTCACACTCTGCCTCTCTCTCTCTCAAAAATAAATAAGCTTAAAAAACAATAATAATATGTATTTATTGTCAAAACTAAGATAGACGTAATCTGTAATTCCAGTATCCAGAGTTGACCCCTGTTAAGATTTTGACGTACTTCTTTCCAGACTTTCTCTTCCACACATGTATGTGTTTTTGCCTTTTTGTGAAACTGAGGCCACAGAGTGTGCTGTTTTGTAACTTGCCAAGGCACAGGCTACGCGGTGGATAGCTCTCCTCATTGCCAGAGCTTCCTTGCTGCACCTTCTTTTCAAGCTCTGTTGAAAGCTCCCCTCTTCAGTAACGGCTGGCTGGGGGGCCTGGAAGGGTGGTACGGAGGTCAGTGGGATCTCATCGTAAGCTTTAAGGGTCCAAGGACCGATGTGATCACCCAGAGCTGATCTCCGGGGAGTGACACGTATACACACTAGTGCGCTGCTTACAATCACATCACCCCAGCTCCGTTTCCACCTGGCCCAGAGCCCTGGCTGTGCTCCGCATGGCCTTGGGTTTTGCTGGTCAGGCCTGGCAGAGAGCCCACGTCACAAAGAGGGGGTGCAGGGTGGGCCAAGGCAGCCAGGAGCTCTCAGGTGCCAGGTAGCAGGGGAAGGAGGGCTCTGACCATGCGATGGGTTGCGGGCCTTCCGAGTGTCTCATGGAGGCAGGAGCCTTTCTCAGGGAAAACACCCACATCTGCCCAGCTGTGCGTGCAATTCCACAGACCCCAAGTTAGGAACTTCAGAGGGCAGGGATTTTCCTGGGGACTTGTGGTGACCTAGAGTCTTACCCTCTCTCTTCCAGGAATATCTGTCAAGACCCTGCGAAGGCTCTGACCTCACATAGGACAGCGCCTCCCTCACAATACAGCAACGTCAGTAGAGGATGGGTGCCAGATGCCTGCATCCTGAGAAGTGGGACTGAGAGCTGAGCTTCTAGCGTGAGAATGCTGAACAAAGCCCGCCCTGGCTGGTCCTGTACTATGGGCTGGGCTACTCACCTACCGTGCTCTGCATCACCCAACCCGATGGAGAGAAAGGTACCATTATCTGAGCGAGTTGCCATTTTACTGGGCTGGAAACAGGCTGAGACTTGCCCAAGGACATACAGCCTTGTGAGTGGAAAGACGGAATGTGCACACTCTCAACCCTGAAGCTATGCTGTCTCTAAAGGAGGGCAGGGTGGGTTTGCCTGTGTGTGAAGGACGGGTGCATACTCTGCGAGGACCCCCTGGGACCTTTGGTCCTGGGCCCATCTTCCCAGCCGGGATTGAGAGTGCTTCTGGCGCAGAAGCCCAATGGAAGAAGGTGGATGCCAAGGGCTAGAGGAATGAGGAGGGGAATCAGTGTTTTGTGGGCATAGAGTTTCAGTGTGGAAAGATGAAAAAGCCCTAGAGATCTATTGCACAATGATGTGAATATACCGAACACTTCTGACCCGTACAATTAAAATGCTTAATATAGTCAATTTTGTGTTATGTGGGCTTTTTAAAGTTGGTTTTTTTTTTTTTTTTTTTTTGTGTTTTTTGTTTTGTTTTGTTTTGTTTTTTTTTAAGAGAGAGAGTGCACAAGTGAGGGAGGGGCAGAGAGAGGGGGTCAGAAGATCTGAAGCAGGCTCCATGCTGACAGCAGTGAGCCTGATGTGGGGTTCGAACTCATCGAACTCATGGACTGTGAGATCATGACCTGAACCAAAGTCAGAAGCTCAACCGACTGAGCCACCTAAGCACCCCAGTGTGCTGTGCTTTTTTTTTTTTTTTAACCACAATAAAAAATAATGTGAAGAGAAAACAGTCAATTATGGAGGTCTGAAAGCTGCAAGAGAAGAAAAAAGGATGCTTTTGGCTCTGGCCTGGCCTCTTTTTCCTGAAGTTGGGTAACACCACACACACTCCTCTACCTGACCCCCCACCCGGTGCCTTGCGGGGTGTCCAGGTGCTGTGGAAAGACCGATGTTCCAAGTCACTGGCAAGGGTCTTCCAGGGACCAGACAGAAACAGACAGCCTGGGGGGCACCTGGGTGGCTCAGTTGGTTAAGCGTCTGACTTTGGCTCAGGTCATGATCTCATGGTTCCTGAGTTCAGGTCCCACGTCGGACTCTGTGCTGACAACTCGGAGCCTGGAGCCTGCATCAGTCAGATTCTAATGTCTCCTTCTCTCTCTGACCCTCCCTGCTCTCTCTCTCTCTCTCAAAAATAAATAAACATAAAAAAAAAAAAAAACAAAATGAAAAGAAACAGTCTGGGGGAAATCTATGAGAAGGTGGAGCTTCGACCAGCCTGGGGGCTGGAAAATGGGAAATGTGTGCCTCAAAGGAGTTTTTCTTGCATTTTACTTCATTTATCTTACAAGAAGGCGACAGAGGTAAGGGACAAACTTCAAAAGGTATAAAAAATAAGGTACAAACAATTATGCAGTGAAAATTATTTCCTTTCTACCCCTCACCCCCGCCCCACCTCTTCCCTGAGGCCGCCACTCTTTCTGCTTTCCTGTATATCTTTTCAGAGATAGTTCATGCACCTACAAGCATATGCGTTTGCATTGTGTGCAATCTTCTTTTCCTGCCACAAATAGCGTATTAAACATACTGTCCTGCACTTTGGTTTTTTTTTCACTTAACAACACATCGTGGAGATCATGCCCTTATCAGTCTGCAGAGACGACAGTCGATCTGCTCCAGGAGTGGCGGAGCATTCCATTGTGTCTGTGAACTTTCCGTTAATGACTCAAGACTCTTTGGATCATCATGTAGGTTGTTTCCATATTTGTGGTGACAAGCAGTGCTGGCCATGGATTGTGTTGTCCACTCAGCACTTCCCACACATGCAAGTATATCTGGAGATGAATTCCCAGCTGTGGAAATGCCGGGTCACAGAGACTGTGTGCTTCGCCTCCTCCTCCTCCTCCTTCTTCCTTTAAAAAAAATTTTTTTTTTTAATGTTTATTTATTTTTTTTGAGAGGGAGACAGAGCACAAGCACAGGAGGGGTGGAGGGACGGAGACAATCTGAAGGAGGCTCCAGGCTCCATGCTGTTAGCCCAGAGCCCGACACGGGGCTCAAACCCACAAACCCTGAGATCATGACCTGAGCCAAAGTCGGACGCTTAACTGACTGAGCCACGCAGGCACCCCAGCAGTTGAGTGCTTCTGACTGTAATGGCAATGGTCAAGTTGCCTCCAGATGGGCAGTTCCCCCTTAGGATGGTCCCGGCTCCCCACTGCCTCACCAACGCTTACTTTTATAACATGTTTTGGTCATTTCGGTTCTGACAGGAGAAAGATAGCGTTGTGCTATATTTACATTTGTCTCATGTACCAAAGGTAAGAATCTTCTCGTATGTTTAAGAACCATTTTTTAATTCCTTGTCTGTGAATCACCCCGCCCCCCGTATCCTTTGCCCATTTTGGGGGCGGTTGGCAGACTTCTTATGAGTTCGTAAGAGTGCTTATTGAAATACAGGAATATGCCTATGATTGAAATGCTTTTTTAGAGAAAGAGCCACAGGGCATGAGTTTCCAGCCTGTGCCCTGCCCCTCATCCTCTACTGAAGACCTCTGCTAAGGGCCCAATGAGGAACTGGGTGAGGCCCTGAGAGGAGGCCCTGGGACTGCCTGCTCTAGGGCTGGACTCTGGGTTGAAACAGCCACTCCTAGGGAGAAAAGTCAAACTAGCCATCGTGCAATACAGACAGCAAGCCTGGTTCCAAGCTGCTGTAGGAGGCACAATTCCAGGAGTGTCATTTACATAGACTGTAATGTGAATGGTGCCCCCTGGAGTTATGTGACACAGTGGCCCTACTGGGCCCAAGTGGAGCAAGCTATGGGCAGCTAGAAATGGTCTCTGCTTTCTTGTGACTGGGCAGGACATGTCACTTCCTGAGAACCTACTTCCAGCCAGGGTAAGTTCATATTCATGGGTGCCTTGACCTACATCTTGGCAGAACAAGACAGCCACATGGGGTGTCTATGTTGTTGTGGGCTTGGCTTCCTGCAGAGATTAGCTTCCCAGCCTTGCCAGTTCACCTGGAAGGGAGTGCCCACGATCCTTTTTCCTGAGGCAGGACAGACGCCTTAGGGAAGCCTTGACATCTGAGAACTGGCAGAAAGGGCTGGGGGGGGGGGGGGGGGGAGTAGGGGAGACCTCAGTAGATCTGATGGCTGCTCCGGGCCTTGTGTGTGGCCCAAGTCCACAGAGAGCTGACAAGTAGGGGCAGCTTGTCCAGTCCTGGGGTCCAGAGTATCCCTCAGCAGAAGCCCAGTGGTGTCTGGACCTGTTGCCAGATGCGCAGAGAGAACAATGGGCAGGGGTCTTTCGCTGCCTTGCTAGAGGCTAACCTCCAGACCAGCTCCCCATCCACCTGGCCTGCCAGTCTCAGAGCAGCACTGCCCTGGGCAGCAAAGGGTGGGGAACTCTCTAGGGAAGCCAAAACCCCTTTTCTATGTTCCCGAAAAAGCCAGCATGGGAGGGTGGGGTGGAAAGCCTGTGGCAATGAAAACAGAGTATACTTGATTGCATGAATGGGAGACAAATGGCCCACAAACCCCTTCCACACTCCTTCCACACCCCTGCCCAGCCCCCAGACTAGGGATTTCATAATGCTGAGAGCCTTGGCAGAGGTGGCTTCTGGAACCTGCCTCAAATCCCAAAGCTAACGCTGCTCAGTCAAGCTGTAGACCTGGGGCCTGGGCTGGAGGCAGAGGCAACATTTTAGGTGCCTTGTCACCTGGCATGAAGAGTGAGGGCACCCTGGGCCTGGCAGGGAAGGCCCTGAGAAGGAACCAGAGTCAGTGTGGGAGTCAGGCCGTCTCCAGAGGAAGCGTGCCCCTCACTGAAGCTCCAGTGACAAGCCTTTGTTCCATTTGGGTAGAGTCTGACTCGGTAACTAGTGTCCGATGGCTGCTTAGGGCTCAAGGGAGGGTGGTGGTCAGTTTCCCTGGCCAGGGCAGAAGGCCAGAGCTGCTCTGGCTCTTTCTTGGAATTACTGTGTGGCTCTGGCCTTATATCTTGGGCTCTCTGAGACTCTCATCAGCACTGTCCGATAGAAATTTCTGCAGCGATGGAGATGTTCTCTGTGCCATCCAGTATGGTAGCCACCAGCCACATGTGCCTTCTGATCAGTTAGAATGGGGCTGGTGTGACTGAGGGAGTGCGTTTTAAATTAGGTTTAATTTTTTTTCAACTTTTTTTTTTTTTATTTATTTTTGGGACAGAGAGAGAGACAGAGCATGAACGGGGGAGGGGCAGAGAGAGAGGGAGACACAGAATCGGAAACAGGCTCCAGGCTCTGAGCCATCAGCCCAGAGCCCGACGCGGGGCTCGAACTCACAGACCGCGAGATCGTGACCTGGCTGAAGTCGGACGCTTAACCGACTGTGCCACCCAGACGCCCCAAATTAGGTTTAATTTTAATGAATTGAAGTGAAAAGAGCTGCACATGGCTAGTGGCTACTACTCAGAGAAGCACAGCTCTGGTCCCTGTGCCTCATCAGCCTCTCCCAGCACACTGGGGCCCTGGGAGAAAGGGAGGGGATGGCCGCATTAGGTATAGAAGCAGGTCCCCTGGTGATTTCAATAAACCCCAGTCTTGTGAAAAACTCCTTGAGAAAAAGGTCAGAAGCAATCCAGGAAACAGCCTACTCCAACCTCTTAGATTTTTGAGATGCATATTAGCACATTGAATGAAAGCTCTGAGATACTTTGTTCAGAAGAAGCTCATTTGGTTTTATTTAAGCTCCAATTTTCCAAATGTATTTGACTATAGTATATATATATGTGTATATATATATATATATTTTTTTTTTTTTTTTTTTTTACTGCAGTACATTGTTATAAGGCACATCTGTTGAACACTTTTGAAATGCTGGGGAAGGGGCTAGACTCCAAGAGAAACTAGTGTTCCCAAATGGGGCTACCCCTGGTTCCTGCACCTGTGTGTAGGAAATGCCAGAGGTCTTGGTTAAAATTGAAAACATTTCTCTGGGTTGTCACAGCCCTTCCCGGTCTGGCCAGGAACCCAGCAGTGGCCTTGAGAGGCCCCATCACTGTGCGCTCTGCCCTGGACATGGCAGCTATGGGGCCAGGGGCAGCTCCTTCCCACTCTGTTCACCTGCCTTAGAGTGTGGGGACATGGGCCTCTCTTGTGGGAAGCACAGAGGCAACCACCCCATCTCATGTCTTTTCAATCCTACGGCTTTGACCAAGGAGGTTGGACTAGGAGAAGCTCTATCGTCGTCCCAGTGTCTGCGCTGTTTGGACCATGATGAGAAAAGAGGAGAAGCAGGCAAGGCGTATGTCAAGTGCTCACGCCTTTTGCCCAGGTAGGCAGTTTGGAGGTCGAGGCCCAGAACAGACTGGGACTTAAATCTGTGTGTCCCTGCAAGGAGGGTCCACGAGCTCCTGCTGGAGATGATCCGTTCTTGTTGGGACGAGGTGGTGCCCAGCCCTGTTGATTGTGCTTTAAACCAAGC